TTATAGTACCATCACTATCTTGGGATGCCATGTTTTTGTGTAAGGGTGTTGAATTAGAGCTAACTACAGATATTAACATGTATAATTTCTGTAAGAATGGCATTGGAGCTGGACTTACACAATGTTCAAATAGGCACTCGGTAGCCAGTATTAAACACACTGCAGACTATGACCCTAGTAAACCCGAGGTGAATATTTATAACTTAGACGTCAACAATTTATATGGTAAAGCATAATGATTACTTTTGGTTTCACATTCGTGTACCCATTTTTCTAAATTACATGATTGATTGAGAAATGACAAATTTAAAGTGGTATATACACTTTTCATCACGTATCTTCTGTCTTCTCTTCCCATACCACTTATTATTAAATCCATTAATTCAGAATCCTCCGCCACTGAATGCTCATTTAACCAATGCAGGGTTAATTGTGTCTTGTTTCGATTTAGTTTCCGGTCTTTGCAATTCCGCTGTCTTACATGGTTACATTTGCACCGTCAAAACTACGACTAGGTTTTTAAATTGGTATTCCCTTTATTTTGTTTTTAGACAAATTCAATCACATGATACGTAAATCGCTCTCTATTCGTTGTTCGAACAATAATTATGAAATATCTACTTGATTCCTCACAAAAAATATTCTGAGCGAACAAACATTTTTGTTCTTTGTTCCATTCAAATCACAGAACTACAATGATCATATATTAAAGATCCAAGATAATTTATCAAAAAATAAATTAGGACATTTCAAAACTCAAAATAAAAAAAAAAATAATGACATTTTAAAAGTTTTCAGGAAGACTGAAAATTATGAATGAAAGATACAATTTTGAATGGCGTATGTGCATTCAAACGAAAGTAAATTTTGTTTTCTCTCTCCCCGAGGTACGCTTTTTGACCACTAGTTGGAATTTCGACAAAAATTTGGAAACAAGAGAGGCAGTATTTTCAAAATTTTTGTATCGACAAAAATCTTTTTGACAAGTGACTCTCCAATCGAATTAAGAAACAGAAAAAAACCAAAATGTATGTAAAATGTCAACATTAATACAAAATGTTCAAAACATGAATGAAAATTGTTGGTTTGGTGATTGGTGATTTTTTGATTTGCAACTGGTGGTCAGAACAGAATATCTTCTGGAGGGTCCTACTTATTCAAACACCGTCCAAAATGAAACAACAAAATTAACAAGTAAAAAAGCTGTGTGTTCGGTTGGGCCGAACTTTGACTATTTGGAACGAATTTGGCAATTTAAATAAAAATAAACTCCGTTAAAAATTCTTTCAAAATCATAAAAATATCGAATGTAGCCGTTATATTAGGTTCTATACGACGACATGGACCTGCATAGGCAAACCCTATCATAAAATTCCGTGAATAGTGTAGCTAAAATAATCAAAATACCGGCTATATGGGGGCTATACGAAGACGTGGAGAAAGCTTTCTGTCTTAGGATATAGTATCCATAGCGAACTTCAAATATCAAATTTTAAATAATTTCGGTGAATAATATCGGTAAAATCAACAAAATACCGAATATCGGGGATGCTGTTATATGAGGGCTATACGAAGACGTGGACACAGACAATTTTCTGTCATAGGCTGTAATATCTCTTACGAACTTCAAATACCATATTTGAAACAATTCCGGTGAATAAAGTCGCCAAAATTATCAAACTATCGATTATCGGGAGGTGCCGTCATATGGTTGCAATAAAATGTCCATGGCATTGTAATTGGCCCAGTTTGAATATCGAAAGTCTCGCAGACATAATATACATTTAAGTAAAATTTTATCAACCATCTTCATTTCGTTCGGAAGCTAGAGTGATTTCCACAGACGGACGAACATCGCTAAATCGACATAGAATTTTATGCTGATCAAGAATATATATACTTGGTGGGGTCTAAAATTTATATTTCTTACTTCTTTCTTACAAACGGAATGACAAACTTAATATACCCTCCATTCTATGGTGAAGGGTATAAAAATGAAACTTAATGAACATTTTCGTGTAAATTGTTGAATATTAAGATCGAAATATTTTGTGAGTAGCCGGCCTTTGTCTAAATAATAATTATATAATTATTATCCTTTTTTAATTAATATGTATTTTCAATAAGTTGCAACAATAGGGATTCAGATCCCAGAAGATGATCGACAATCGAAATATTGGATAAAATAAAGAGAAAACAGGAAACAACTAAATAAAATAGCTTTATTGACCTTCAGCCGAATTAAGAAGGTAAAGTCATGCAATCATATCTTTACAATTTTTTCAAAATTATTCATTTGCCAACATCTCATTGTCAAAATTTATATTTTAAAATCCATTGTATGTACACAAATCAGAGGTGGAAGCCATTTTTCGAAGTAGTTAAATTTGATAAGGTAAATTACAGAAAATGTAGAGATAAATATGCTTATCTGAAATGACTTTACCTTCTTAATTTTACAATCAGTCGAACCATCATTAAACATATTAAATTGGAAAAATTTTGTCTTATAAGATGCATCAACAGAAACTTGGCCAGTTCTGTTCCGAAAAACAGTTCTTATTTTTAATTCTTGTAAAAAATGGCTTGTTTCCAAATAAAGGAATTTGAGGCGTTCAGTGAAGGTCCGTACCCTCGTGGAGAAGACCCGAACCAGATTGGTGAATAAATGCGTGTATATTAGTCTTTTCTGACTCTGGTTTGGAAGTTGAGTCAACTTTGCGTTCGTGGAAGTTTATGTGAATAACATATTGTACATAATTGGTGCATTCTCAAGAAGTATTCCCCAATGGTCGTGGGCAAACAAAGTTCTGGGATGAAAATCACTGGCGATTCTATAAAGCTAAAACTTTTGCGATTTATTTTACAATTTTTTGTTCTACAAAAAGATTAAATTTGGTATTTAATTGGTTTAAAATTTGCTGGTTGGGGAAAATTGAAATCTTAATCCAAGGAAGTCATTTTTATTAAGCTAAGCCGTTCTTTTTAGCAACGTAACAAATATTCGTAAATGTTAATTCTCAGCCATTTCGCAAATTGCTTCAACAATCTTTTTTTTTAATCTAATGGATACCTGGGATCATACAAAAAGGCGTATTTTGGATGGAAAGAAACAGAAAACATGAAAGGAAAATCAGATATTACGGATCGTTACGAGAATGAAAGGATGGTCTTGATATTTTTTAAACAATTTAAACAAATTTCTCAAGAAATGCAAGAAAAAATTGGAGAAAGACGACAAACACCGAAACATATCTAATCTGCAAATTAAAACATTATATTTTTGCTACAATTGCTTGTAATCAAATAACGATAACTACAAACCTAGAACCATGTACTATCACTATTTTGAGGGACACTCCTTTTCACTTCATGTCGCTGGGTTGCAAGTCTTGCTTGCTCACTTTGAGATCCAAATGGAAATGGAGCTTTCACATGCGTGTCTGGGCTTCAGTTCAAAGACTATTCCTTCAAATCTACAACCAGAAATCACAACTTCGAAGTTTAACTCATACTCTTTGGAATGGATATAGGACTATTAAGCATTCTGATGAAAGCATTTAGATCAATTTTAACTCAAAAAAAAAACAAATTTTGATAGACAGTTGGAGGATGGACGGATATGTGATGACTTCTGATTCAAACAATGCGAGGAATAAGGAAATTACAGAAACATCCTAGATAAAATAACAATATGATGCCTTAATACTTTAATACTTAGAACTTGGTCATTTGCAGAAAATCAGTCCAAATGAAGAAGGGAATCACTATCTGTCGGTCCACCGGCAGACAGCGAGCGGGGCACGTCCAATGGAATTGTTAAAAAACAATGGTGTAAACTAATGATAAATTTTGGTTTCACATTCGTGTACACATTCGTGTAAATTACATGATTGATTGAGTAATGACAAATTTGAAGTGGTATATACATTTTTCATCACGTATCTTCTGTCTTCTCTTCCCATAATACTTATTATTAAATCCATTAATTCAGAATCCTCCGCCACTCATTTAACCACTGTAGGGTTAATTGTGTCTTGTTTCGATTTAGTTTCCCATCTTTGGCAATTCCGCTGTCTAACATGGTTACATTTGCACCATCAAAACTACGACTATGTATTTAAATTGGTATTTCCTTTATTTTGTTTTTAGACCAAATTGAATCACATGACACGTGATTCGCCCTCCATTTGTTGTTCGAACATTAATTATAAATATCTACTTGATTCCTCACAAAAATTTTTCTGAGGGAACAAACATTTTTGTTCTTTGTTCCACAATGATCATTTATTAAAGATTTTTATTTATTAAAGATTTCATTTATTAAAGATTTATTAAAGAAATTTATCAAACAAAAAAAATTAATTGTGACATTTCAAAATTCAAAATAAAAAAAAAATTTAATGACTTTTTAGAAAGACTGGAAGACTGAAAATTATGATTGAAAGATACAATTTTGAATGGCGTATGTGCATTCAAACGAAAGTAAATTTTGTTTTCTCTCTCCCCGAGGTACGCTTTTGTCCACTAGTTGGAATTTCGAAGGAAATCTGGAAACAAAAGAGGCATTATTTTCAAAATGTTTGTATCGACAAAAAATTTTTTGACAAGTGACTCCAGCCGAATTAGGAAACAGAAAATACCAAAATATATGTAAAATGTCAACATTTATACAAAAAGTTCAAAACATGAATGAAAATTGTTGGTTTGGTGATTGGTGATTTTTTGATTTGCAACTGGTGGTCAGAACAGAATATCTTCTGGAGGGACCTCCTTATTCAAACATCGTCCAAAATGAAACAACAAAATTAACAAGTAAAAAAGCTGTATGTTCGGCTGGGCCGAACTTTGAATACCCTCCACTATTTGGAACTAATTTGTCAATTTAAATAAAAATAAAATTCGTTAAAAATTCTTTCTTAAGTCTTAAAAATATCGAATGTAGCCGTTATATTAGGTTCTATACGACGACATGGACCTGCATAGGCAAACCCTATCATAAAATTCCGTGAATAGTGTAGCTAAAATAATCAAAATACCGAATATATGGGGGCTATACGAAGACGTGGACCTGTGCAGACAGCTTTCTGTCTTAGGATATAGTATCCATAGCGAACTTCAAATATCAAATTTTAAATAATTTCGGTGAATAATATCGGTAAAATCAACAAAATACCGAATATCGGGGATGCTGTTATATGAGGGCTATACGAAGACGTGGACACAGACAATTTTCTGTCATAGGCTGTAATATCTCTTACGAACTTCAAATACCATATTTGAAACAATTCCGGTGAATAAAGTCGCCAAAATCATCAAACTATCGATTATCGGGAGGTGCCGTCATATGGTTGCAATAAAATGTCCATGCCATTGTAATGGCCCAGTTTGAATATCCAAAGTTCTGCAGACATAATATACATTTGAGTAAAATTTTATCAACCATCTTCATTTTGTTCGGAAGCTAGAGTGATTTCCACAGACGGACGTACATCGCTAAATCGACATAGAATTTTATGTTGATCAAGAATATATATACTTGGTGGGGTCTAAAATTTATATTTCGAGGTCTTACAAACGGAATGACAAACTTAATATACCCTCCATTCTATGGTGAAGGGTATAAAAATGAGACTTAATGAACATTTTCGTGTAAATTGTTGAATATTAAGATCGAAATATTTTGTGAGTAGCCGGCCTTTGTCTAAATAATAATTATATAATTATTATCTTTTTTTAATTAATATGTAGTTTTAATAAGTTGCAACAATGGGGATTCAGATCCCAGAAGATGATCGACAATCGAAATATTGGATAAAATAAAGAGAAAACAGGAAACAACTAAATAAAATAGGTTTATTGACCTTCAGCCGAATTAAGAAGGTAAAGTCATGCAATCATATCTTTACAATTTGTTCAAAATTATTCATTTGACAACATCTCATTGTCAAAATTTATATTTTAAAATCCATTGTATGTACACAAATCAGAGGTGGGAGCCTTTTTTCGAAGTAGTGAAATTTGATAAGGTAAATTACAGAAAATGTAGAGATAAATATGCTTATCTGAAATGACTTTACCTTCTTAATTTTACAATCAGCCGAACCATCATCAAACATATTAAATTGGAAAAATTTTGTCTTATAAGATGCATCAACAGAAACTTGGCCAGTTCTGTTCCGAAAAACAGTTCTTATTTTTAATTCTTGTAAAAAATGGCTTGTTTCCAAATAAAGGAATTTGAGGCGTTCAGTGAAGGTCCGTACTAAAGGCCTCTACAAGACGAATTGTATGAATTATGCTTTTTTCGACACACTGACTTTGTCTACTCAATCATGCGCTATGTATTTGATAGACAATGACAACCAACAACATCCCCCATTTTGATTCATGTGTGTCATTGTCTAAGGTTCGATCGTGGCATGCCTGACTCGAATATTTGCATGGTGTTCTCCATAAATGCAGTGTGTGGTCGATGACATCGAACCGTGTCATCGTCAAATTGTGTGTCATTTGTGTACGTGTGCTTAAATTGAGAGAGTGTGTGTTACTTTCGACGGTGAGGGAGTGTTTTTGTGTGTGCTGTAATTTTGAAGTAACAAACACCGCGTAAATATAAAATTGGGTTCAATAAAAAATTGTGCATAGACATCAACAAATGAATAGAAAAAAATTAAATATATACTGAACAATCCCAATTTATTGGTGATTATCATAAAATTTTGGTCATAAAAGGAGGTAAATATTGTTTGCCTATTTTTTTTATCTACATGTAGTGTTCTTTTAAAATGAAAGTTTGTTGGCAGAGATTAGAATCTCATTCAATAACAGAATTGAACAATAGAAGTATATATAGTGTTGTTACGGGAATTACAGTGGCACTCATTCCCCGTTACACCTCAATACCGGAAGCAAACATTTATGAAATTATAATCAAAATAAGAAAATTTTTTTATTTTAGATTGTTTCGTCAATAACGAAATGTAAAAATTTTGTGTAGACCAATAAGAAGTACCTTTAATATTGTAGTAATCGCCAAGGAATTGTTTATTACAAAAAAATTATTTTTTCACATATCGGAAAAGCAGGTTGCGATTACGCTTTGCCTTTATCACGTGTGTGTCTTTTTCGTTGGCAATTGTTTCATATTTGTTGTTGTTTTTTTGATAGAACATTTTTGTATGACACACTATTCAACATTTCCTTGTATTGGTCATTACATGTTATGAAAATGGGTTTGAGTGTGACCGACATGACGAGACATCGAACATTTGGTTGAATGTCACGTACTGTTATGCGTTTGATCAAACAGGGCTCAACATGACGAGCGTTTTCTCTGCATGGCATAAATAGAGAAAATTGTCACATTTGCAGCCCTTTAGTCCGTACCCTCGTGGAGAAGACCCGAACCAGATTGGTGAATAAATGCGTGTATTCTAAGTAGTGAAATTTGATAAGGTAAATTACAGAAAATGTAGAGATAAATATGCTTATCTGAAATAACTTTACCTTCTTAATTTTACAAACAGCCGAACCATCATCAAACATATTAAATTGGAAAAACTTTTGTTTTATAAGATGCATCAACAGAAACTTGGCCAGTTCTGTTCCGAACAAAAACAGTTCTTATTTTTAATTCTTGTAAAAAATGGCTTGTTTCCAAATAAAGGAATTTGAGGCGTTCAGTGAAGGTCTGTAGCCTCGTGGAGAAGACCCGAACCAGATTGGTGAATAAATGCGTGTATATTAGTCTTTTCTGATTCTTGTTTGGAAGTTGAGTCAACTTTGCGTTCGTGGAAGTTTATGTGAATAACATATTGTACATAAGCTAGGAAGCGCTGGATTGATGATGATTGGTGCATTCTCAAGAAGTATTCCCCAATGGTCGTGGGCAAACAAAGTTCTGGGATGAAAATCACTGGCGATTCTATAAAGCTAAAACTTTTGCGATTTTTTTCCAATTTTTTGTTCTACAAAAAGATTAAATGTGGTTTTTATTTGGTTTAAAATTAGCTGGTTGGGGAAAATTGAAATCTTAATCCAAGGTAGTCATTTTTATTAAGCTAAGCCGTTCTTTTTAGCAACGTAACAAATATTCGTAAATGTTAATTCTCAGCCATTTCGCAAATTGCTTCAACGATCTTTTTTTTAATCTAATGGATACCTGGGATCATACAAAAAGGCGTATTTTGGATGGAAAGAAACAGAAAACATGAAAGGAAAATCAGATATTACGGATCGTTACGAGAATGAAAGGATGCAAAAGATATTTTTCAAACAATTTAAACAAATGTCTCAATAAATGCAAGAAAAAAATTGGAGATAGAAGAAAAAACCCCGAAATATATCTAATCTGCAAATTAAAACATTACATTTTTGCTACAATTGCTTGTAATCAAATAACGATAACTACAAACCTAGAACCAAGTACTATCACTACTTTGAAGGACTCTCCTTTTCACTTCATGTCTCTGGCTTGCAAGTATTGCTTTCTCACTTTGAGATCCAAATGGAACCCTAGCTTTTACATGCATGTCTGGGCTTCAGTTCAAAGACCATTCCTTCAAATCTACAACCAGAAATCACAACTTCTAAGTTTAACCCATACTCTTTGGAATGGATATAGGACTATTAATATTAAGACTTGGAACTCTGATGAAATCATTTAGATCAATTTTAACTCAAAAAACCAAATTTTGATAGACAGTTGGAGGATGGACGGATATGTCATGATTAGGGAATTAGAGAATCATCCTGTATAAAAAAACAATATGATGCCTCAATACTTTAATACTTAGAACTTGGTCATTTGCAGAAAATCAGTCCAAATGAAGAAGGGAATCACTATATGTCGGTTCACAGTCATAAAGCTCAACCGTCTCACAACGACATACGAAGTAAAATTTAACGCTTATAGTCCCTCATCAAAAAAAGACAGTTTTAACGACATTCGCCAACAGGTTTTTATACTACGAAAATTAAAATGGATTCTATTAATACGCCTTTCATGCAGATATCACAAAAATGTATCAAAAAGCATTAGATTCACATCAAACATAATGTCATGGTATTCTCTTTAGGCAGTCACAGTAGAGGATAATGAATCAATCAGTCACGTTTGGAGTTAACTGTGCACATTTAGCATTTAAAACACTTTTGAAACTAGAAAAACTATTAGCTTGTGGAATAGGAATTAATCAAGGGCTGAAAGGAGTTAACATCCGTTTTTGACTCTGCTGGATTTACACTTATGAAATTGGCGTAAAACAGTTACTACTACTAATTTGATCAGGCCAATAGAAAATAACCCAAATGAAGTAGTATAGTTTTGTCATAAATAGCAAAGTAATTGGATATCTCTTGTAGCTTCAATTAAAAAACTGCTGTCATCCAGCCTTGAATTATGTGGGCAAGTTTTAATGTCCAAATTAGTTAATTCCATTGTATATAGTATACAAATACTCAACACAAAGCCTGCTTGCTTCAATTAACCTTTATTGGAAGTAGTCTTGGAAATTTCTGTTCGTCTGACCAACGTATGTCCGTATTCTGCCAATTTGTTTGGCAGTTTTTTTTCTTTTGTTGTAGAGTTTTTTCTCTCTTGATTGTCTGCTAACATTTGTAGTAAATACCGAGTTTGCCCCATATATAATATATAACAACAAATAAATAGACCTATAATATCTAGAGTGGTCACAAAAACCTTCCTGGTCATTTGTTATACCTTCCTCAAACTTTATTAGAGACGTCATAGGGTTAAGGCATGAACTTCAAGATATCATTGACGGTTTACGGAAATCCGATGACGTCCGTCACTTATGCAAGGGAGGAATTAACACCGTTTAGTAGAACCACCCTACTGTTTCGCTGGTACTCAAACATCAGTCCAGCGAACTCAACCTTCAGCGACAGTATCATATTACATTCGGCTATGGTAGTGACTTGTAGATAACACAGCAGTTGTGCACAAGTGTCGTGACAACGCCGTATCGGTTAGTCGAAAGTAATAAATCAAGTGTGAGGCTGAAAGTGTTCAAATAAAATAGTTCTGTTTAAAAAATGTCTTCGTGTTTTCCGCAAAAAATAATCGAGAGTTAGGTATTCTCAGCTTCTTAAAATTTATAATGAACTGTGTTCTTAACTTGATTAAGCTATGGCGTTCACCAGCGAAAAGCTAAAAGCAATCGTGGAATGCGCCGTAGGAGGTACGTTCGCGACGCAAAAGCAGAGCTTTAATCAACAGCGACTAGAAGTTAGGGAAGAACTCCGAGAAACAGTCATACCTACCCCTGAAGTGGAAACCTATATATAGATAAGATTAAGTATCTCGTCATGAAAAATACGATGGCAGTTCCAAGCATTACGAGGCCTTAGGCATAATGTGGAACAAAATTACGAGTTCAGTGGATATGACAATTTCATTCTTTGACACCCCTCTCAATATTAGGGGTATTATATTATAATAAATAGGTCAGATATCACATACGAATTAGATAAGAAATTAACTCTACCTATAAATAAAATCATCATGACATACGACAGCAAAGTAATTGCGTCTTTGATTGAGAAATATAGGGCAGAAGTAGTAGGGATCTGGGGGAGGAAGTGGCAAATGCTATAAAATTTTACGACCTTAGACTTCCGTTTGCAAACCATGTATTGGAAGTTTTATACCCATCATAAATTAGTTGTGAAACAATTAGAAACAAATTTGTCTCGAGTTGTTGTTTTTCCTAATATGTTAGGGGGACACATCCCTACAGTCGGATGCGCGTTTGATCCCTACATTCAGCCATTATCATCACTTGAGGGTAATTAATGGAAAATGTAATGAGACTCATATTTTGATTTTTTTATTTTTTGTGTTTTGTTTTTTTTTTTTTTTGTTAATGTTTGAAGAGCTGTTTGTGTGTGTTGTTTGGTTTTTTCTTAAGCCAGCCCTCACTTGGTATCATCTAATCTGTACCACTTGTTCCACAAAAGTTATAAAAAATGTACTTGAAAAAATTATAAAGAATGTACTTGAAATTATTTTAGCTCACTACATTTAATCCATATGGGAAATCTGTTAAAAATTATTTTTGACGGCTAGATGTAAGAAGTTATTTGTAAAATTTTAAGAATTAATGAGGCATTCTGATCTTAGATATCCCAGTATCCCAAATGTACTTGTTGTATTTTTGAAGATCTAGGATGAAAAATATTTTGAAAATATACATATGTGTCTGTTAGTGGAAGGTTCTTAGGTTTTCTATAGAAATGACTAGTGTTAATATAGTACAGAGTTTTTTTTAAATAGCTTTAGTATAAAATAAGAAATTCAATCGCAAGCATCAACCCCAAATTTTTCCAAATCAAAATGGCACGACATTTTTGCGAATTTTGCTATGAAACGTTCACTATTAAAAACGAATATTTAAGGCACATTAAAAAGCATTGCCCCGGCTGTGGACATTTTTCTAATAATAATACATATCAATTAAAATTTCACCAAAAAAATATAGATGTCCTCCTATGTAAAATCAGCCATCTATTTACTCAAGATTACATAATAGTGAATATGCAAATTGCAATAGTGTAACCCTATCACCAAGCGGAATCAATTTATAGTAGACCAATTCACACGCAATGGTCATAACATTCCCCAAACGTCTGCACAAGGTGAATTGACACAGCAACCATCATGTATTCCATCCCAACAAAGTGAAGGTGGAAACAAATTCTGCAATAAGTGCCATAAAGCGGTGCGACATATGTCGGCTCACCTTCGCAGTGATGAACATCAAATTGCAATTAGAAAAATTTTTGGTGAAAATGTGAACATTTTTAAAAACTCTTTTGGCGAAAACACACATATTGATTATGGATATGTCAGGGTAATATAGCACAGTAATAATACTATAAAAATGATAAATAATGAATATAAATATTTATTTTTAGGTTATTACGTTCACAATTGACAGCACATAAAGCTAGATCAATCATTTGTAATGGTTGCATACAAAGTTTCACAACGGAAGCCGTATATGAGGAACATCAGAAGGAGTGTGTTGGGGTCGTAACGGAGATGTCAAAAGAGGGAGAAAACATCATTCGTTTTAAAAACTACCACAAAAAAGAGAGAGTACCATTTGTGGTCTGTACGGATGCCGAATGTATCCGGAGAACCTCATCACGAACACAGTTACGGTAAAAAGCACATTCCTTACGCATTTAGTTTTTATATAAAATGAAGTTTTAATGAAATTTTAAATTTTATATTTATTGTGACCCCGAAAAACTTTTTAGAAAATCGAATACGGGATTGTAAGTTTATTTACAACTCGTATTTGTCAAAAACGGTACCAATGATTTCTTTGACTCAGAAGGAATTAGATAACTTTATTAGCAGTAGTGTGTGTCACATTTGTGAAAAAGCCTTGGGTAATGACCTAGTTAAGGATCATTGCCATTTAACCGGAAAATATCCGGGGGCGGCACACAATGAATGCAATCTCAAATATCGTGTGTCAAAATTTATACCAATATTCTTTCACAATTTTTCCAAATACGATTGCCATTTATTCTACAAAGAATTAATGCAGTGTGATGGAGACATTGATGTAATTCCTTTAAATAAGGAATTATATTTTCAACGTCATTTTTTATTAACATGAAAAATGATTTAAATGAAATGGCGGTGAATTCAAAAAACCAATGGTGGAATAAATTTGAACTAAGTTTCTTGGACAGTTTTCGTTTTATGTCTTCCAGTTTGGATAGTTTAGCTAAAAATCTACCTAAAAACGCATTTCAAGCTGTTCGTACACAGTTTCCAAATGATGCTGAGTTCAACGTGTCTTCATTAAACAAATTATATGAACGACAATTGCCGGATCGAAATGAATTTTACAACAGTTTGACTGATAGTGAGTGTTCGTTAGATGATTATAGACATGCGCAGAATGTATGGAGTCACTTTGAATGTCAAACTGTCAAAGAGTATACAGAGTTGTATTTAAAAACAGATGTCTTACTATTGGCAAATGTGTTCGAAAACTTTCGAAGTTTATGCCCCCGTCACCATGGACTTCATCCTTGCCAGTATTTTATAGTACCATCACTATCTTGGGATGTCATGTTTTTGTGTACGGGTGTTGAATTAGAGCTAACTACAGATATTAACATGTATAATTTCTGTAAGAATGGCATTGAAGGTGGACTTACACAATGTTCAAATAGACACTCGGTAGCCAGTATTAAACACTCTGCAGACTATGACCCTAGTAAACCCGAGGTGAATATTTATAACTTAGACGTCAACAATTTATATGGTAAAGCAATGACACAATGCTTGTTTTAAGTTTTTAACTCAAGAAGACTTGGAACAATTCAATAACGTCAGTAAAATATTGGCGATTCCTAATGATTCACCAACTGGTTATTTTTTTAATATGGATTTAGAATATCCACAAAATCTACATGACAAACACAATGATTTACCCTTTTGTCCTGAATCCAAATGTGTCGGTGGTTGCAAGATCAAAAAGTTGATTGCAGATTTGAATGACAAAATGTCTTACACCATTGATTATAGAGTGCTTCAAAAATGTATCCAGCATAACTTAATTCTTAAAAAGTCAATAGCTGTTTACAGTTTACGCAATCTAACTGGCTTGCAGCATACATAATGATGAACAATTCTGTTTATGGCAAAACAATTGAAAATGTGAACAAAAGGAAAATCGTTGAAATAAGAAACCATTGGGAATCTTATGGGAAGCCCTGGGGGCACGGGATTTCATCCCAATTTTCATAGTTTAACACACTTTGCAGATGGTGGCAATTCAAATGAACAAAGTGAGTGTGAAGTATGATGGATTTTGTATTTTAGAGTTATCAAAATGGGTCATGTACGATTTCCTCTATGATTTTTTAAAAGTAAAGTTTGGTTATGACTTTATTTTAAATTATATGGATACTGATTCCTTCATACTAACTTTCACTAACCGCAAGCTCTTTGCCGAACTATCACGAGAGGATATTATGGCTGGATTTGACACGTCAGATTCTTCGCCATCCAACCCATATAATATACCAATTCTCAATAAAAAAAAGTAATTGGAATGATGAAGGACGAGAACTGCGGAAAGACGGTATCGGAATTTGTAGGCCTTAGGCCAATAAAGTACGCTATAAAAGTCCACAATAGTGAAGAGGTAAAGAAATCAAAGGGTGTTAAAAAATCAGTTTCGAAGCAGTACACCATCGACACGTATAGGAATTGTCTGTACAATAAAATGAAATATTACAATAGTATATATACATTTAGATCGAGGAAACATGAAATATATACAGACAATATAATTAATATAATAAAAACAATTTTTGTAATGATGTTATAGATTTAGAAAATATATATAGAACTAGATGTAGATATAAGTAACATACCCCCTGTAAATACAATAGACATTCCTTTAGACGGGGATGACAACTCTATTTTTGAATTGTTGAAAATGACTTTGTAAATATATAAAACAATTTGTATATATTTAATGAAACATTTATTGCTTAAAAATAAAAAAACAATCAAACATTTATTTTTATTTCACAAATATACTTAATTTTAAGACATGGAAGCATAAATTACTTATACAGCTCTTCGAACAATTCCGGTTAAAGGTATGTATTCCACCAGTCGGTCATGAATGATTAGACAATATGATGAGGTATTTTGAGATATTGGAATATTGGTGGTAAATTCGATTTTAAAATCAATCGGTTCAATTTTTACAGCTTCATTTTGATTGCTTATATCAATAACGGTAATTGGATTATGTTTAAAAGTAGTGTATGTTAGAAGCGGATGTGGCTCACTCATATAATATGTTTGTAGAAACTTGGTATACATATCATAAAGTATTACATAACGATTTTCTGAGAACTTAAGATTTAAATCATCATAAGGATAAGTCTCAGAATTCAAGTGTACTTTCATGTTTTCAAGATCACAATGAATCAATTTGTTGTCCCTTTCAAACACTAACGCAACATATCGCGGTCTTTCGTGACTGGCAGACATTTTAACACACAATTATGTTTTAAACCAACAGAAAAAGTTGGATTAAAATAACAATCCCAACTTCCTTAATAGCTTTCAGGAAACTAATTTCTCTATAATCAGACAAATTAATATGTTGAACTTTCCACACAATATTTGTAATTGTTAGTCGAGTCAGTTGAATGTAATTATCGCTCGCAAGAGAATATTGTTTCCCACACAATTATGCCTCAGTCTAGCGTTTGATGAAATTTCTCCGTTTGCTTTTCTCAAATGCCCTTCAATGTACAAATAGCTTTCTAGTGGTAATATGTATAAATCTTGGTTTTGAATGCTGATACATATTTTATCATTATTTTTAAATGATTGAACATAAGGTACATATCTGTGGTAGTCCCACTTTACGATATTCTCATCAGAGAATGGCCTTTCATTTATATTAATAACTTAAGACATAGGGTTTTATTTTAATTTAAGTAATTTCAAAAACTCTTTATTTTCTTTAGATAGAAATGGGTTTGTCGGTTTGACAACTTTAGTGTGAATGTTTGGAGTTTGTTTATAATTGCCTTGGTCTTATATGAATTCGAAGTGTGATTTCCTCACCACGATCAATCAATCGACCTTCTTGATCTAGTATTAATATTTTAAGACAACTAATTTCCTTGACGTTCAAAGGCAAATAAATAAGGTTCAATGGTCTTTCATCCAATTTATAGCCTGGAGGAACATCTATAGAAAATTCGTGAAGAATATGTGCAGGTGAGTTGTTCATAAATGATCCAGTTACTGTGTTGCATTGTATTTGAACAGCATTCACCTTCAAAATATTTACTGGAAGGTTAGATATGTGCCTTTTCCCCGGCTTCAAAACTTTGTCTGTGAAACCAAAGAGTTTGAGAAATCTATATTTCTCCTTATTGAAATAAACAGGATCATAAGAAGATGTAATTCCTATTTGTAATATATTATTATTGGCTTTAATATCTATAGATCTATTAGAGCTGTACTCGGTTTCCAAAAAGTCTGCAATATCTTGCAATTCATATGATCCTATAGATATTTTTATTGTATCATCTCCAATATGATTATTATCCTCATCCACATTAGAAATTGAATTGTACGATTGGAAATCAATTAAACTACACTCGTAATCAGTATCACCCAATTCAATGGGTGGTGAATAATTTGAGCATAAAACTGAATTACTACCCGGCAAAGTAAACGTTCTTGACATTGCAAGATTCTATGTTGTAATATATAATACATAACCGAATCTGACACTTTCATATTTTATTGTTAAAAAATTATTACAAAACATTATTTTTATTTATCCACGAATTATTCCGATTTGAGAACCCCAACCATTTCACATAAACTTTGTCATTCTTTGATTTTAGAATTTTCTCCACCAAATATGTGTTTGGATATTTTGTAGGTAAAAGTTCTTCTCTATAAAAACATCCTTGTATTGAATTTCCTTCAAAATCTTCGAGCAGATATGTAGGGGTTGGTTATTCTTATCCTTTTTGTTCTAAAAATTTCGGTTGTCCAGTTTGGAGTATAACCCTTTTCAAAATGATGTTTATATTTGCTGATGCGTACGCGATCACCGACATGAAGGTGTGATTTTTTTTAAAAGATTTTTATATAACTCTAAACAGATCTCAGCAGTAATTTCTAGTTTGAGGAATTCACTTGTATTGTATTAAATCCCTATAGAGTTTGATCCATAGATAATTTCTTTTATGACTAAATTCTTTCCACATCATTCCTTTTAGGATTCTATTGAACCGTTCAACAATTGATGCTTTCAATACACTGCATGTAGAATAAAGATTTTGTTCTATATTTATGCATAAGCTCGCCAAATGTTTTACTAAAAATTCTTTCTCATCACAAGTTTGCAAATTCTTGGGAATTCGTCCGATTTTCAATATTTTTTTCAAATGCTGCACAAACTTCTAAGGCATTTTTAGATTTGAACGCTTCAGCCCATGCATATTTTGAAAAAGTATCAATCACTGTTAGCATAAACCTGTATCCCATGTTTGCTTTAGAATATTTGCCCATTTCAACTAAATCAGCTTGCCATAGATCGTCAATTCCCTTTACAATGACCCTCGGCCTTTCAATTTTTTTCTTGCCTGAGTGTGAAGTTCATTCCCTATTCCTCGTTACTCCATCTTTTATTTAATCTATTATCTCACAGTGTATGAGTAAATGTAGTTATCGATAAAAGGTCATAAAGTTCGTTTAACGAGTGTTTTAAACGCGATATTTCTTCTCTTATATCAGAACTATCAATTCTTCTATCCATTTCATTAGGATCGCCCCGTATATATAGTTGGGTTTATCGAGATTTACTCTCATTAGGCCTTTGCCGCTGTGAGTATCATCTATCAAGTGTTTTATAACACGTTTATATTTATATCCTCTGTTGGATTTCATTCGTTCATTATGTTTATAGTTTACTTTATATGCATTAGAGTCCAGCAAAATTTTTTAAATATTTCTAATTCTGAAGCGTCATAATAGATAATAATAGACCCGGTGTAAATGCCCAATGTTGATTTCCAATAATTATTTTTTGATCATCAACTTTGAATGGTTTGTCTCCAAATTCCGCTCTCCGTTAAGATCTTTGTGTGATAAAAGAGAAAGGTCAACGGTATTATCATTGTCCGTATAAAATGTGTCGTCTCTTAAATCTGACTCATCGTTTTCCCCACATTTTAGGTTCTGGCTTAATATCGTGTTTAAATTTGTTAACGGGTGTACTCATAGTAAAATAATTTCTATATGATTCAATATTTTTCTTCTTAGGTACTTGGGGATTGAATGCATTATCATTCGTTAGTTTTAATAGTTTATGGCTCGTTTTTATATCTTCCCTTTATAGTCCACTTTTGTTATCCCTTACTTTATGAAAAGTGAAGGATAAAGTTCACATTATGGGGATTCATTATTACATCCTCCCTTTAAAATAAATTTATTTTTTGCAGAGATATGGCAATTAATTGCCCTCAACGATTACTTTTTGTAAATGTAACTGGTAGTCACTGCATTTTTTTACAGTGGCATCTTTATTTTACAAAATTAACAAAAATTAACAGAACGAATTTGTATTAATTTCGTAAAATAAATATACAATTATTTCTGCAAAAAAATAAAGCGAAAATGGATAACCAAAAGGAAACCAGTCACAGAAAACCATAAGCATATTATCGAGAATAAAAAGTCAGATTCCGTCGTTTGGAGAAGAAGCAGTCTGGAAGAAAATTGAAGATGATTTTGCGGCCAGCATGGAATTACGACGACCTTGAAAAGCACTGCTTGATAAATACGAGGTTTTAAAACGCAAGTCGAAGATTGAACTTGCAGAACAGAAGTTGCAAACATATCGTAAGGGTGGTGGAATGGTGACTTGTAAAGTATCTACTGTTTCGGAAAAAATTGCGGCTTAACTCTAGTTTAGTAAAAACTCTTCAATTTTTTTCGAAAGTTTTTCCAGTGGTAGGTATTTTTACCCTGATCCCGGGAAACTATTTTTTTCTTGGGGACGGGCCTGGGACCCCAGATTTTTGACCCGAAAGTCCGGGTTCAAGACCCCGACTAGACCCGGATCCAATTACCGGATATAGGCAATATTGATATCGATTGAAAGCTTATGAAAATACCTATCCAACAAGTGGCTCGGAAGTTACAGTCAAATTATCGATTTTTTGGACCCGGATTTTTAATAAAACCCCCAAAAAGTCAAAAAACGGTCCATTATGGGGGACAACAAAATTGATGCCAAATTATAGCTGACACTCTTACCTTTCCAAAATGCTGCAATTTGGGCTAATACCTTTATACCTTTACTGAGTCCAGAGATATGAGTCTTTCCATCCGCATAACCCGATTCTAACCAGTTCATTAAAACTAAGTTTTCAATAAAAAAGGTATATTTCGCGTAAGCATCAAATTTACAAAAGTTTGGTTCGCGTTAACCGGTGTAGGACATACCCAGAGGAGAAAATCTCAAGCCCCGGCCGAAGGCCGCCTACTTACAAAAAGTATCCAATTTAGAAAACTTTGGTTCGTGTTAGCCGGTGTGGGACATACCCAGAGGAGAAAATCTGAAGCCCCGGCCGAAGGCCGGCTATTTACAAAAAGTGTCAAATTTAGAAAACTTTGGTTCGCGTTAGCCGGTGTAGGACATACCCAGAGGAGAAAATCTCAAGCCCCGGCCGAAGGCCGGCTACTTACAAAAGGTATCCAATTTAGAAAACTTTGGTTCGCGTTAGCCGGTGTGGGACATACCCAGAGGAGAAAAACTCAAGCCCCGGCCGAAGGCCGGCTATTTACAAAAAGTGCCAAATTTAGAAAACTTTTGTTATTCCGACGACTGCTACGCGCAATAAACCCTTTTTTATTGAAAACATCATTTTACTGTTTAGAATCGGGTTATGGGGATGGAAAGACCCATATCTCTGGACCCGAAAAAGGTATAAGCACAAATTGTAGCAGTTTGGAAAGGTAAGAGTGTCAGCTATAATTTGGAAACAATGGGCCCTTTTTTGACTTTTTGGGGGTTTCATAAAAAATCCGGGTCCAAAAAATCGATAATTTGACTATAACCGAACCGTAACATCTTACCCCATCATTTGACCACTTGTTGGATAGGTGTTTCCATAAGCTTTCAATCGATACCAATATTGTCTATATCGGGTAAGTGGATCCGGGTCCAGGCGGAGTCTTGATCCCAGACTTTCGGGTCAAAAATCTGGGGTCACGGGTTCGCCCCCCAAGAAAAAAAAAATAGTTTCCCGGGATCAGGGTAAAAATACCTACCTCTGGAAAAAAATTTCGAAAAAATCGAAGAGTTTTTACTAAACTAAATTTGTTCCAAAATTGCTTCCAGGCTTGTAAAATACGTATGATAGTGATTTCGGTAAGTTATTTATACAAAATGCTACACTGAGCAATTTGATGACTTTTTTTGTATTTCTCTTGCAGTGGTTGAACCTGATTACATTGACTACAGTGAGTTAAATGCATCTAATGAATTTATTGAGGAAAGCAATAAAGAAAATGTAAGTTGCCTAATAATTACTCTGTTCCAGTACTCTCAAGAATCTACTAGAATTGCAATTTTCTCCGATATCATAAAGAGGAAGTCGGTTATCGTGTAGTGAAAACTATTACATTCTTGCTGTTCTGGAACAGACCAAATATGTCATTGCTGAAGGAATACACTATATACCACACGTGAAAAAAGATATATATGTTGGTGAAAAAATTCTTGACAAAACCCACGGGAAATATACGAGCAAGTTTCAATAAATACCATTTTTTTGCCAATAAAAGTGGAATTTTACATCGTTCCATTAGCTAGGTAATATTCTAGAAGTAGAAAAATTTTAAATTATTTGCTCTTACCGATTTTTACGGGGTTTTGTTAAGGGGTCCCAATTCTGTTAAATGCTAAGTAAATTTAGTGACATTCAAAGTTTTAGGTGTTTTACTTATACTTTTCTATATATTTTTTAGAACAACTCGATGAATATTTCAACAGAAAGAAAGGTCAACCGACTTTTGCCCACAGACTTGAAAAAAGCCTAGATCAAAATAACTGGTTAACGGCGGCAAAAGAAAACGCAACCTAGAGGAAGAAAAACTTGAACTTGTTCTTTTACAACAGAGCTTTAACAGGAACGAGAATATTCGTGCCCAAGAGAAGCATGAAAACGATGAAATGCGTGCTTAAAAAAAGAATGAACACGAAATATCTTCATTGAGACTGGAGAATGAAATTTTGCAGTTAGAGTTGGAGGAAAAGAGGTTAAAATTTTTAGAGTAATTCAAATGTATTTTATAATTGTAAATGTATTTTGTAAATATAAGCAATATTGTTAGCTTTTCAGCACTTAAAAGACTGAAAATAGAATAGAAATTTTTAAATAAAAACTGAATTACAATTCGATTTATCCAACTAAATCTTTTAAAACCGAATCGTTTAACAGTGTTTAAATTTGCTGTGTTTTTCACAGCACCGCAAATTCAAACGCTGGCTTAACAATGTGGTAGGTGTTATTGTTTTTTTTTTTTTTTTTTTGGCTTTTTTGGCAGATGTACAGCGAAGCGATGTGCGCTGTGAAGTTTTTATAACCGCAGCGTAACGCAGGTTCTGTGAATATGAAAATGTAACTTTAAAGCACATAATCGTAACCATCGGAAAAAAGAAGTTGCCAAGTTTAAGAAAGAAAGAAATTTAAGAAAATTTTTAAGAAATTTTACATGAAATATTTGGAAATATTATTTGAAAAAATGAACCTACATATCTTTGAGAAACGCGCGAAGAAAAACATAAATCGAGCTTGCGCGCAAAAAGACATAAAATAGCACGTTATCGTTTTAAAAAACATAGTTAAACAACTGCCCTTTTGAATATACCTTGTAAAATAGTTTTCAATCAAAATGGTTCTTGGTTCAATTATGGCTATATTGTGAAGTACAACACATGCTAAACGAAGACCCATTGATAGTACTGGAAAACGTTTTTTCCAAACACCGAAGCCTCTCTCAATAGTATTACGTGTGCGAATTTGAGATTCGTTAAAAAGAGCTTCAGGTCTTGTGCATGGATTTAGCAATGGAGTCATCATATATTTGCATTGTTTTCGGACAGTTCATCCTTAACTGAAACTTGTGATAACGAAAAACGATTTATGTGTCCGACAACATCACTTTTTTATATATCGGCAAGATGTAATAACTGGCCTATATCTTCCTGAGTAAATATCATCGTCTTAGCTGATTGTTAGAAATCCATATTTTTCTTTCCAGCATTCAGGACATATTTCTTTAGATTTTTCAAAACTCATATCACTTCCAACATGATCATTGTATTATGTTTTAAATTTAAATCATCTTGTTTGAACATAATAATCATATTTGCATTATCACGTAGTAATTGTTTCAGAATCCTAGTGTATGTCTGACATAAATAAAATGAATCGACATTTTTATGGCGACCCATACTGAAGCATGTTTTAATATTATTTTGTTTATAGCAAGCCACATCATCGAATATGATAATTGAGTTTGGCCTTATATCTTCTGGTTGTACAGCATCCTCATTATTATTGAAAGTAAGTAATCCCATACCCTTTATAGGTGACATACGTTTCTCGAGATATTCCTATTTCGGTTGATATAGAGATTTAGAATATATATAAATATTTTGGAATTTCAATCCATTTTGGCTTTCTATCAAGCTCAGCATTACATTGGTCTTCCCACAATTCGAAAGGCCAACTATTAACGATTTCATTGAATTTGGTAATAAAATGCTGTGTCTGGGGAATTTGTTTTGTACGAAATCCGCATTTTGCACTGGAAGTTTTGCTTGTTGTTCAACTAATCTCATTTCGCAACTAATAAATTATTTAATTGACAATGTCTGTTTATCCTATTCTTTTGCACCATTATTGTTATTAGAAAGAAAACCGCTAAAGGAAGAGGACTTGTAAATAAATTAATGAATTCTTTACCAGTGGGACTTCATCTGCCGGGTTATCAATTCTGGGTCCCCGGAACAATGCTTATAAAACAATTAGAAATGGGGGATAAAGGTGTTAAACCATTGGATGCTGCTTGCAGAGAACACGATATTGTTTATTCGCAAGACTAAAATAGTTATCAACGACACATTGCAGATCGTGAATTGGCTGAAAGAGCGTGGGAGCGAGTTAAATCAAGAGATATCAGTGTTGGAGAAAAAATTAACGCATATCTAGTCACTAACATAATGAAGGCGAAAACCAAGCTTGGCATGGGTTTAAAAAATAAAAAACTCTAAAAAGATACTCGTCAACAGATTTTTAATAAAGCACTCAAAAATGCGTCAATGAAACTTAAGAGTATAAAACCCACTGATATTGATGATGCTATAAAAATAGCAAAAAATTAAATTAAACATGTAAAAAAGCTGTAAGTTCGGCCGGGCCAAACTTTTAATACCCTCCACCATTTGGTACAAATTTGGCAATTTCCAAAAAAAAAAACCGTTAAAAATTCTGTTAAAATCTTAAAAATACCGAATGCTTATACGACGACGTGGGCCTGCATAGGCAACTTTTGTCATAAATGATTACAATATTTAAATGCGAAACTTGAAAAAAAAATCTGTTTATAATGTAGCTAAAATCGTCAAAATACCGAACATGGGGGGTACCGTTATATGGGGGCTATACGAAGACGTGGACCTGCACAGACAATTTTCTATCATGGGCTGAAGTATCCATTACGAACTTCACATGCGAAATTTGAAACAATCCCTGTAAATAATGTCGCTAAAATCATTAAAATACCGAATATCGGGGGTACCGTTATATAAGGCTATATGAAGACGTGGACCTACATGTCTCATTTTTTGACTTTGGATGAAGTATTCATTACGAACTTCAAATACCAAATTTGAAACGATTCCGGTAAACAATGTCGCTAAAATCATCAAAATACCGAATATCGGGGGGTACCGTTATATGGGGGCTATATGAAGAAGTGGACCTGCACAGATAATTTTCTGTCTTAGGCTGTAGTATCCATTACGAACTTCAAATACCAAAATTGAAATAATTCCGGTGGATAATGTCGCTAAAATCATCAAAATATCGAATATCGGGAGGTACCGTTATATGGGGGCTATATAATAACTTGGACCTACATGGCCCATTTACGAACTTAACCTGCCTACTGGGAAAATATACATGTGTGCAAAATTTTAGCCTTCTATCTCAATTTGTTCGAAAGATAGCGTGATTACAACAGACAGACGGACAGACAGACAGACAGACAGACGGACAGACAGACAGACAGACACACAGATAGACAGACGGACATGGCTAAATCGTGTTAGAATTTTACGCTGATCAAGAATATATATACTTTGTTGAATATTTGAATATTTCGAGGAGTTACAAACGAAATGACAAAATTAATATACCCTCCATAGTATGGTGGAGGGTATAAAAACATTCCCCGGAAGAAAAGCGAAGGTAGTTATACCATAGACAAATAAAGGTATAGACTAAATAGTTTTAAAATTTTCCTTTCCGGCAGATGTCACTATTATTGATCTTGGGCCAATCAAGTCACCCAGGGCTAGTGAAGTCACTCGACTTCGAAAACAATTTATTCATTTTTCTGCTATTTAAGTTCTATATTTTTATATTTCACGACATATTTGGATAATGTAAAAGTAAACAAAGTCGATGTTTCGTTTTTAATTGATAAATAATAAAGAATCATAAAAATATTTAATAGCATGAACGACATCTATTGAAGCACTTTTTTCAGAGATAACAGATGAGACAACTTTTTAGTCTATACCTAATTTGTCTATGGTTATACCACGAGTTATTAAGATACCAAAAAATGGGGATTTTCGTTCTCTTACACCTATTTTAACGAGTCTAGGAGCTTTAGGTGCTCTGGCATAGGGTAGTTCAGCGATTGCTAATGCTGTTATGAATGCTAAGAAAGCTGAACAACACTTAGAGGAGCAAACCAGACATAATAAAATAATAATAATTTAAAACCCTACAAAAAAAGGCTATGGTATTTATTTGAATAATACATCGGAAAACTAAAGGTAAGGTCACATTGAGCAAATATTTGACGAAAAATGTCAAATATTTCTTTGTCACAATCTGACCACCAAATATTATTTGACGGTAAATACAAAAACAGCTGATTTTGGGAAAACAAAATTATTTGCCAGAAAACAAAAATTTGACCAGTGTGTCCATAATGTGAACACCTATGATCAATTATTTTCCTCTTTTTTGGTCAAACATTTATTTGACGGTGCAAATGTTTTGTAAGGTCAAACAAAGAAAAATATCAGTTTAAAACATTGGGCAGCATTTTGCTTTAAGAACAGGAGCATTTGTAGCATGATGTTTAATGAATGGAAAAACAAACGAATGCAATAAGTGGCTTTGTTTATTTGATATTTTTGAGTTAACTGAATTTGAATGTTTAGTAAAAAATGTTTATATTTGGTCAGTTCCAGTGTTTTTACTACGATAACCGATTTTCCCTTTATTATATCGAAGAAAATTGCGAAACTAGTAGATTCTTGCAGGTTCTGGAACAGGATATGAGTAGATGCATCAACGCTTGAAACAATGATATGTCAAAAATTTTGAAATGTTTTGACAAAAATAAGTATATTTTTCTATGTTTTCCTTTACGGCGAAAAATCGGAGGTTGCAATGATATATATTATTCAACAATTTTTACAAATTTCAATAATATTTCATTCATTATTTTCAATTCCAAAATTGTTTTGACAGTTCATTGTCCCAGCAGCTATCTCGATGTGACTACCCGTATTCTTATACCGTGATACAAACATACAAAAATGCCAAAAAAATTTTCTGACAAGGAATTTATTCCACAACACCTCGTCATTTGCTTTCCTTCTCCAAATAAATTATACCCGAAACTCCATTTTCTTTATGTCTCTCTTTCACTCTCTCTGTCTATTTCTCTCGGCCAAATAAATTTATGATTCCTCACAGTTTGATCAAACAATTTAATGGGAAAATATATTTTACGAATGTGAACATGTGTCAAACATGTTTCCCCATAGCACTATTTGACGCTATTTGGCGACTGCTTGAACAAACAAAATCTGTCAAACATTTGACTGTAATGTGAACATCGAATCAACTCTGTATGAATTTCACATTTGTTCAGTCAAATATGGGAAAACAAATTTCGATCAAATATTTGCCCAGTGTGACCGTACCTTAACAAATACATTCTTTTGAAAAAGAATTTATACCAGGCTTTAGAATTATATATATGGGCGATAGATTACCTAAGAAGCCATATAATAAAGAATGCGGTATTATAAATTTCGATAATGATGAAAGATGATAATATCATTGAATATTATGATAGTTTTGGAAATCTCCAATTTCCGT